CCCTTGATTCATTTCAGAATTATACAAGTTTCCTTAACCTTTTAACATTTTAATGAGCCCAAATGAGTTCATTTATCACTGAATTCAGTAATTAAGTTATTGATCCATGTTTAATTACTAAATTCTTTCTGTTCTCATTTCAGGAGGCTGGATATGCAGTAACTCAGTGAATCACAGACCTCTCTCTTACAAGACCCAATCACAGAACTTGGAATAATTACATGCTGACTCCTGACATCCTGACTAGCTCACCGACCAGTTTTATGGACAGTTTTTGACATCTCCCATTCAGTAGTTCTTTCTGTACCATACATTCTAGCAGTTACCCTGCATCAAATAGCATACCTCAAATGGAAATGTTTTATGATATTGACATTAAGTGGCTGTGTAGTCCCTCAGGGAATTTTTTTAAATGGTCGCTCGTTGCATCTCCATTCAACAACTCCATCTCATTCAACCTTAGAACTGGTAAGCCTGGGTAAAAACGAATCCTGCTTCCTCTCCTGCTCAACAAGGGCACAAACAGATACTGGAAAACTGTCACAATCATTTTTTGGACTTGTAAAAAACAGACTTCTCTGCTAGCTATCCTGTAAATAGTGTTTATAGGTTGTTTTGTAGGTGGATATTTTAATAATAAAAAAAATAAAATTAGCTTTTTGTGGGTTTTCTGCCTTCAATTTTTGTCTCATCTTAAGATAGTTATTCAAATAAAACACACTCTCCTACATACCAGCAGAGTTTGTCAGCAGGTGTTTCACTGTAACAAAACAGGGACTGTGGACATACTGTTCATGCACTTAGGAAGTCACAGTGACAAGAATCTGGTAAACCATAAATAGACATTATATACATATTAGCTTTACATGGTTTGTGGGCTGATATCATAATGACAATTTTGGCAATTTGTCATTTATGTTTTAAAGCTGATGTTGTGATTAAATGCACTGAATTATACTGCATTTGTTCAAATAAGGTGATGTATGGACCAAACAGCAGCTTTCAAATAATTCACAATGAGCTAAAAAAATACATTATAGGCATAATGTTACCACCAGAGGTCTCTGTTGCATCTGTGCTGGACAGCTTTGAATGTGACAGTTTCTTGCAGTAATTGTTCAAATTGTCTGGCTGACAGACTTCAAGTGGGATACATGTTCGGGGCTGAAACATGAAATTATTGGTTAATGTTATTGTTCCCTGCTCCCTGGTGCTGATCAGAAATCTGAAGATGAGGCGAGCAATAGTCATTACATTTTGATGGAAGATTATGGGAAAACAAGTTTTGTCTTTTAAACGATATGACAAATGAGTTGATATGATATCAGAGTCACAGGGTGGCTGGTAGCCTGCAGGTAGGAGAAGTGACCCACAAACTGGAAGGTTTTATATATATATATGCATATATATATATATATATATATATATATATATATATATATATATATATGTATATGTAGCTGGTAAATGATAATGCCTGCAGTGGTAATCATTCTGAGTTTTCACTGTGAAGGGCAGAGCTTTGGAAGAGAGTTTGGTACAGACATGATCACTTCACAGTGTGAACAGATCACTGCATGTGTAGCCTTTTTAGAGAAACACTTTGCTATACAGCATAGCACTACACTGTATAGTGTGTCAGCCATTGTCTGGTGATGTTTAAATTCTCAGGGGTAAACTTGACTCCCTACATAACTTCTTATCCTGTACACTTAAGCAGAATTTGTCCATATACAATAAACGTGAATTGAATTGTCCCACAATGCACAGCAAACTGTAGTGAACAGATAACACAGTCATGGGCAAAAGTTTGAAGACCCCTGGTCAAATTACATGTTTGTTGATTTTCTAAGTAGAAATAGGTTAAATTGGGCAAAAACTGATATTTGGCATTTTTTCTACAAATTTGGAGTACAATTTATATTTACTTGCTAAATTTTACATATTGGAAAAAATAAAACATAACATAAATGTGCCATAACCTTTGTATATGCATTTCATATACTGTATATTGTATATACATTTTATGTTTTAGTTTATTTTTTCCTCCAATATGTTAAATTCAGCAAATAAACAGTAACAATGCATTGAATGTAAAGAAGTGTGTTCTCTGTAGAGGGTCTGTTTTTATTAATTAATCAACAAAAAGGAATTTGACCTAAACAACTATATGCACTACAAACTCTTTGTATACCATAATACAAAAAGGTAGAGTTGTTGTTTGTCAAGTAATCTAAAGATGGCATTATACAGAAATTTCAAATTAAAATAACTGTCGTTTTTATTTTAAAAAAATAGTAAAAATGTCAATATTTTACCTGTCCAATTTTTGAGTACAATGAAGAAGACACACAGGATTGTGAGACAGCTTAGCCATTGACAGATGCATTGCCTTCAGAAATCTGCCAAACAGAGGCTCCTCGGCAGCTGTGTCTTATGCTAACATTGGACTTGGTCATGACTTCCTGTCTTCAAGTATCTGAGTAGGCAGCATTATTTCCCATTTCAAACCCATCCATTTTGTCTAAAATCATCTTGTTTAGCTAACAAATTTCCTACATTAATTTCTCTAAGTCAATGAAAGAGTAAACCATTCCAAACTGTTTGGGTTTGTGAAGAAAATTAGCCATTTTGTAGCATTGTTCCGACATGAACTGCATCTAAGCGCCTTTTTAAAAGGGCCCTTTTAACAAAAATCTAGGTTTTATATCAAAAAGTAAGTGAGCCCAAAAATTTGCCTTCAGGTCCACAGGTTAAGGGTTGGGTGAGCTGTAGTGTACAATAATACAGTAGAAGACAGTACAGTAGTCTCTTATAAGTCTACACTAATACAGTAAGTATCCACAAGACAGGAATACATACAAATGAGAAGAACTAAAACAGCCCAAAGATGTTCTTTTGGTTTCAGAGGTTATGATTAGAATTGGGTTAGGTAAGTTAGCACAGAAGTGTTTAGCTTCAGTAATACATACAGCAATAGAAGGCACTTCCCATAAATAGTGTTTAATTTTTGTACCATTACTTTTTTAAAAGAAATAAAGTGACTGTTGTTTTTTTTTTTGTTTCTGTGAAAGGTAAAGGGATCTGTTCTTAAAATAAAATTATTTAAATTAGCATTTAAGTAATCACAAAAAAAACATAAAATGTCTACATCCACCTTTGGGCAGTCCCACTTCCCTGACATTGAACTTCTCTATGAAATAAATTTATTAAAATCTTTCAGTAACACCATAAATACAATGTTATTTGGTTGATGTTCAAGCAATTTAGTGTTGAAAGAATTACATTTGTCTATTAATTTATTTAATTTAACAAAAAAAGTCATTTTTGACCCGTGTCCCACATTTTATGCACAGCCCTGTTACCAAAACCTGTCGCCCTAAAAAAAGGAACATTCCATTTATTATGATATGTACAGGTCGTTGCATCACTTTGCTGCTTTCTGCAGAATGACTATCAGACAAGTAAGTATTTTAATTCTCATCGTAAAATTAAAAAACCAAAATTATTGTTAGAAAGCTCATTTTTTTAAGTTTATGTAAACTATATGGTTATTAGTAGTTAGAATGCATCATGTGCACCTTGTCAAGCTAAACACTCGTGAATGCTGTTCACTTATCATGCTTATTTTAGGCTGTTTACAATCCTGTTACTTACATTTTTTCAACCTTCAATTTTTTTAAATGAAAATGAAATGAAAATGGCTTGAAACAACTATTTTCATAAAAAAATGATTAAAACATTTTTTTAAATTTTCCCTTTTGCTTTATGTTGTGTTTTTTTACTGCAACAATATTAGCTTAACGGGGAATATGATATCTGAGTTTGACCCTTTTACTTGCTTCAACCAGGTACCCAGGTTTCAACCCTGTTGTTCAATCATTTAGTCTTTAAACATTTAATTTAGTAGGTTTTGTTATCAGAAGTGGCAATGAAAATCATAAAAGAGTAACAAAATTACTAATACATATTTTTGCTTTATATATATATATATATATATATATATATATATATATATATATATATATACGCACGATAGAAAACATAACAACAAAAATACTTTGGACTTTTATTATTCATTCAGTTAACACAGACTTTTAAATGTCATTTATACATTTCCCTAATAATCGATAACAAGGTTGCAAAAAATGTTGTACGTTTTAAAAAAACAGCTAATATAGTATCAGATTTGATAGCCCGAGGTGGAAAGATAAAATTTTCTGAGAGTTAGGCAATTACGTTTGATTAATACTATGTCAAGAAACGCCATAGGACAACGTATGTTTTTCATTTCATGTTCTTTTTTTTAACAAAAGCCGTTCGTATGCAAACTTACTGATCTATGTGCATGTAAATTAGATACTTAGTAATGTCCTCGCTATGGAGTTCAGCTACTCTCTGTATTATGCAAAAAAAGGTTCCTACTAGTACTGATCATTTTAAATCCTCATTTGTCAGGGGCATAAAAGAAGTTTGGAGAACTTAAAGTTAAATCCAAATTTTGTGTCTGTGGTTTAATTGTGCATGAGTGGTGTTCTTTCACATCTATGGGAACACAGGAAAGCAGAAAGCAGGTTTGGGACTTGTGTCCCGATAATGTGGTGAATTTAAGAGTGTGTGTTTATGTGTGTGTGTGTATGCGTAAGTGAGCGAGTGCGTGTGAGCGTGCGCAGTCGTGTTGGGTGGCCCCGCCCCCTTTCTTCAGTGAAAACCGAGATTGTAGCGGAGGGGGAGGAAAGACCATGAAAGGAAAGACTTGGATGCGAACACTTCTAGGGCTGTTTTTTCGCTGTAATCAAAGAGTTTCTTATTTGGGGCTTATTTCTTTGGCAGAGGAAAAGAAATAAAACTTTAAGCAGAGTCGAAAGAGAAATCTCCGTTTCTCCGTCCACATGCTGCCCGTACCGAGCGAGGCTTGAACAAAGTTAGCTGAAGAGCTAGCCACTTAGCTCGGCCAGGAAGAGCCGGGACTCAGGGTGAGGGTGGTGGTGGTGGTGGTGGTGGTGGTGGGGGGCGGCTGGACTGTGGAGGCTTCGTCTACCCGCCAGGCACTATTAGTATGTTGCCCTCAGGAGGCAACTCAAGCTTCGGATGAGGTTGAGGTTAAGCTGCGAGGCTGAACCGGAGACCAAACGAGGGGAGAGTGAAGTGCGATGCCGCCGAGTCGCCCGGTTTTGTCCTTCGCTTGGCCGCGCTCGGCGCTCTGGAGACCCGCGGGCTGCTTTCTCCTCCTGCTCCTCCTCGAAGGGGCCCTGTGCCTCGCCAAGCCCGGCGGAGCGCCGGCCTTCAACGGTAGCAACCGCCCGAGCGTGAACGTTTACATGAGCGAAGAGGAGGTGAAGAAGCTGCTCGGTATGTATCTGTCCGCGTTCGACTCCTTTCGCTCATTTTGTTACGATATGTTCATGTTAAAACTGAAGAACGTCCATGAGGTTGGCAGAGGTTAACACTGTTAGCAAGCAGACCAACCAGAGCAGAAGTGGCGTCAAGTCGAAGTTGCTCGTTTCTGGTCTTCAGAAACATACCTGTGATGCAGTGCGGTGAGAAAGTACCAAGCTCGGCTGAAAAAGTCTAAAATAGTGCGTTATGGAGCTTACTCGCAGGCACAGATAACTAGCTTAACTTAATCCTGCACTGCTCCAAACTTCCAGCAGCTGTTGGCTAACTGTGAGCTACAGCTCTATACACAGGAGAGCTAAAGGCTAACGCAGTGTTTATCAGCCCTGCTCCTGGAGTCTCTCTTCCAGAAGTAAGGAGAGGAACATAGAAACATACTTAAGTAAAATAGTGTTACTGTAATGAAATAGGAAAACACCTTAAGCATGAGTTAATATAGTAAAACTATTAGGTCCAAAATCTCCCGAGTTTCCAGTAGAACTACAGTAAATCTTCCTTAGGGCTTCGAGTCCATCAGCGTAGAAAGTGAAAGAAATAATCAACAAAATGTGGATGAAAGACTAAAATGACTGAGGAAAAAGTAGTTTCCCTTTCTCACAAATATACTTAAGTAGAAGTAAAGTCAAAGCTGTTTATTTTAAGTAGAAGTTTCAGAGAAACTGAAACGAGTTACTAAGAATTTGTGTTTTTCCTGCTCTCACCTGACTCAACTCATCAACTCTAAAAAGTGTTTTTTTGGAGCAAGAAAACACAACAGTCTGCAGTACACAGGGACTCTAGGTTAAGAATTGAGAACCACTGCGCTAAGTTGTGCTCCAAGGAAGCCAAAGGCTGTAGTTTTGTGTCTCATTCAAAAAGTTACTTAAATCGTGATTACTAGTTTTGGTTTAATACGTTGTCAGTAAAAATAACCCAACTAAACTTGTCCTGTACTGCATTGTAAGTGATTGCACAAGGTATTGATTAGGCCATTCTGATTACTGCTATAAGCACTTCGTGATGATGTAAGATTGGAAGCTGGGATAATGGACAGATTTATGCTGAGGTTTGAAAAATACCATTTAATGTCCATCCTCAAGACAGCTGTAGTTGAACCTTTGGCTGTTGAGTAGAATCTGATGGCTCTGTTATTTGAGTGAAGCTTGATTGATGATGTTAATACTGTCTGTCCAATAGTGCCTATTAGTATCAAAAAAATGCTTGACTGCCGCTTTCCCACCTCCATGGTACATTCATAGAAAATCAGACGTATCAGAGAGACAGTTTTTTGATATTTGAAGTGTCTTATTTCTGAGACGCACAAGGCAGACTGAAAAAAATGTTTTGTCTTGGATGGAGGGGAAAAACTGCTCATTTTCCAAAAATAAGACTCCTTTTCATCGACTGTGATGAAGCAGTGCAATGATCTGGAAATTTGAGGCTGCTTGTAACTAGAACATTTATTGAGGATGGTGTTATAGTGTGATAGTCATGCTGTCAGAAGACTTGAATATTGCAATGTAACCATCTGTGACCCCAATGGAAGAAATATCAGATTGATAATCAACGTATAAACTATAAGTGAGCTCTAAACTTATTTTTTTAGCTATGTATGTTATAATAAAAGCTTATGGAAATTGAATTTGCTTTGCAAATAATTCTGATGTTTCATGTTTGCTGCTGTTGAATGATGTCCAGCATGGGGTCATTTGTATTACTTAGCCTTTCTTCTAACCCTAATGGGAAGCATATGAAAAAGGGACAGCTACTACATTGTGTTGGCATGGGAGGAATGAGGCTGCGCTGTCAGATTCATGGCTTTTAACAGCAGTCATGTGGTCCATGTCATAACTCAATTGCTCAAAGTATAATTGTAAAATATTGTTTTGGACATTTGCAATGACTTAGTGAGACCATCTGGCCATCCTGAGGCTTTTATATCTCACCATGTATCTGTAAAAGATAAAGGGCTTGTATGACCTGCTGATGTTCAGAGGATGCCTTAGTTCAGCCTTTGGAAAACACCCTTCCAGTTGATCTGGTGTGAATTGTTTAATGATTGTTTAGTGCTGGATGTTGGTGGTTCTGTAACTGGTCATTACTATCACAAGTGTTGCAGTACGCGGGTTAATGAAAGGCTTGTAGAGCTGCAGTAACAACTTCCTCCAGGAAAAAGGAAACAGTGAGCAGAGCACACTGGAGCAATCTAGTCTGAAATAGTTCCAGAGTTTCTCTGTGGGCTTGTGTACAAAGCAAGTCCCTGAAGTGGCCTGTGCCTAAATGTGTTTATATTCAAAGTAGAAATAAGAAAATCCTAGAGTGATTTTGAGGGTTGAGTTGTGTTTTTCCCACACTGATAAAGACATACTGAGAACAAGAATTTATCTTAACTATGACGAATACAGCAGAACATTCTGGAGGAACACTATCCAAATGGTTGCCAGCAATCGGAAACAACTTGATGGCAGTTACTAACACTTATGTGACGAATACAGAAGCACAGATTCAAACAACATGATAGTAATTCTGCTTTTTTGACTGAAGACAACGGCAAGTCGGATGTTCCATGTTTTTCAGTGTATCAGCGATAAATTCTGCCACCGCCAACATATGGCCAGCAGAACATTTTGTCAAAAGTTTAATTTTCCCAGCTTTGCAGTTCGCTACAGCAGTAGAATAAACTGAATGTTGATTCTCTGAAAACATGGATACAGAGCTCAGGTGTACAACAAAACTTTGAAACATTTTAATGAAAGCTCATTAGGTTTATTTAGAAAAATGTATTTAAAACACTAAAAAGGATAGATATTCAGTAACATTGTTGCCCCATAGGAATGCTGTCACTATGGCAATATTTAATGGCTGTGTGCTGCTATGAGGCATGAAACAGTGTTTTTTAATGCCAATGTGTAAATGCAGTATGGAACTGTTGTAATCAATGTTGAGTCCAGTTAAAGACACTTTTAGTTTTTGATGACTATATATGTAAAGAAGAATGTCAGGGTTTGCAGTCTAAGTAGTTGTATGGCCTCATACCTCTTATAAAGCATGTGTTGTTTTTATTTTTATTGTTACTTTTTTGTTGACTGTTTTATGGCTGTTCCCAGAGATGTTCACAAATCAGCTAAATTATTTATTGTGCTAGTTAGCATACTTACTATCCAAATGACGTTAGCCTACCATTTTAAGTTATTGTCTTCCTTCCTTTAAGCACCACGTTTACTGCATGTACTGCTTTGTTCTTGTCCATCAGACGGAAGAATTTTTTGTAATGGAAGGCTCGTTATTTGAAGCTGCATTGAACTTGCTGAAGTTGCGGGTTGAGGAAAAATAGCACTGCAGTTATGCCTCCGCATGACTGCGGCAAAACTGACAAAATCACACACAAAACAATGGAAATGAAATGTTTTATTTATTTACTGCATTAAGGTTGATGGTGCTAGTATAAATCAGTTCTGTCTGTTTTGTATTTCTCATGCTGCAATTTCACGAATGTCAAGTCTCGAGTCCAGGGCAGTTAGGGGTGAGTCCTGTTTGAGTCAGGAGTGGGTCAGCATCCAACTTGACTGAGACCTAAGTTAGAGTTGCTGACTCAAGTCCCCATCCCTGGCTGTCAGTATCAGTTATGTTCACAGTTGAGTAATATACTACTTATTTTGATTAATCATGTAATTGATTTAAAAAGCCAAACAGTGGACAGTAACATCATAATAACAAACCCTGCATAGCATTTCAAGATTCCAAGATAAACAAAGAAGCTGAAAATACTTTATAAAAAATTATAAAATAAAAAAAAAACTGTGGGAAAGAAATGCATATTAAAGGGTACGCCTATGTTGTTGGGTTTTTCTTTTAAACACTGCAGTAGAGGCCACTATGAGAGATTTAAAATATGCATCATCATCATCCACTGTGCCTACTAATGCAGTTTTTAATCGAGTAATCATGACTGCCTTTACCAATTTTTAAATGTGTGAGTAGCTGGCTGTGTCTGTCTTTGTCTCTGAGCTAGACATTTCTGTATCTGATCAGTGCTGATTGATTAATGCTGTGGTGGGCTTTTACACTCGTTGACAGTCACAATCAGATTATGAATATCAACATGTCTCTAAATTCTTCTGTTGAGTGTTCTGGAATCTGTCGTGTGAACAAACATGTCGAAATGCTGCTTTTTGTATATTAAAAAAAGAAAGTGGGGTGACTGCCCCCCACAACACTGCATTACTGTTTTCAGAGGTCTGCTCTGCCTCTCTTTCTGGTCTCCCAGCCATTTTCCCCTCTTTTCTCTGTTGGTAATTTCAGCCCACGTCCTTGTGTGTCTTGCCAACATGGGTTGGCTGTGCCAGGAGATTTTGCATCAGAAAATACACTTTGACAGTTTCTGGCAAAATGTGATGACTTGTGTTTTCATTTTTTAGGTTGGTTTGTGGTATGATTGAGGATGAGGGATGTTTTGGGCATGATGGCTGCGATCCAGATTGAAATCGGTGGGCAAACAACTTGCTCAGTGAGTGATGGACGACAAACGTTGTGAGCGCCTCTGAACTTGATCTTTGGTCCAGTGTTGCTTGGTTGGTCCACACTGGTTAAATTAAGCATATACTGGATTCTTCAGCTTCTTATTATAGAGGACAGCATTGGTCTCTGAGCATTGCACTTTTGTGGGTCTATTTTGAGTGTTTTTCAACTCTGTCCATTTGTTCTTTTCCATTTATGCAACATCACAAATCCTCCCCAGTTTAACAGCTTTTACCCTGAAGTGCAAGATAATGTTACAATGAAAATTAATTAGTATGAATTAACTTAAAATAATGTATAAAAGTAATATGACCATCCAAATCTATTGCTGACATTTTTCATATTAAATTAATATTGTAATTTGAGTGTTTTGCTCTTTCACAAAATTTATGTATTAAAGTAGTTTAAAGTGTGTGTGTAAAGTATATGCATTATATCCTGCTAACACTAGACTTACA